CCCAGGCCCTAAAGATAGCGAGTGCTCGCTTTTTAAAGGATTAACTAGTTTTATATTTAGAAAAATAATCTGCCTTTTTAAAACTAAGTTTTTATTGAAGAAATACATACAAAAAGTGTATAAGTCATAAATGACTCTTGGATTAATTTTCACAAGGTAATTACACCGTATAACTACCACCCAGATAAAAAAACTGAACATCCCTAGTATGGCAAAAGCCTTCCTGTGCTCTCCCCCAGACACTGCTCCTCTCTCCTAAAAGTAACCACTTCCCTGGTGAGTTTTGCCTATTCTGAAACTTTATACAATACGTAGGAAATACAGGATATACTCTTATATTTGGCTTCTTTCTTTCAGTCTGATGTTTGTGAGGTTCATGCATGTTGCTGCTTTTGCAATGGTCCATTCAGGTCCATTCATTCTAATTGCTGTGTAAATTGCACAATTTATCTACTCTATTATTACACATCTGGATTGTTGCCAGCTTGGAGCTGTTATGAATAATGCTGCTTGTGAGAATCTTATACAAGTCAATATGATATACCAATATGGTTTTTAAAATAACATTAGATGATCTGCTTTGTAAGCAAATATTTTTAAACGTTAAAGAAATTATATTTTTATTAACTCCAAATTCAGGAATTATAAGTTCACTGATTTATATTTCTAGTTCTAGTGTCATTTATCAGTTTTCTAACCCAAGGATTCAGCAGGTCCTTGAAATCAGATGTGAATATAAAATTACTTTTTTCACCCAAATGCAGCAACAAATGACAATAGAATTATCTGTGGCTTTGTCACTAACAGAAATCATAGATATTTTCATATCACGTTATAGCTGTTGCAGTATCTCAAAATACTATTTATTCTCAACACTTTGAAAATATAGTAATGAAACTCTCACCATTAGCTCTTAATATTTAATGGTCTACCAAAGAAGTACATATTACTACATTACAAATTTATTTTTTAAGTTTGATATATTCAAATATAAGTGGTCTCCTTTAATTTTGTGTATTTTATAGTTTTAAAAACCCTACTCTGAAAAGGGATCCATAGGCTTCACCAGACTGTTAAAAGGATCCACGGCACCAAAAAGTTTAAGAAACTTTGCTTTATTTAACTAAAATGTAGGTGTAACATACAAAGCAAAAAGATAATTTCCAAGAGTCATCAAAGGCACATAATTGAGTGGAGGGGAGGTCTTTAAATTTCTAACCAAAATAAGGCCACGTTCACCAATAAAAGTGAGTCTTGAGGAAGGGGATGTGGGAAAAAGAAGGATTTATCAACTAAGGAAGGCTTATTGGGAGGATGAAGGGACCAATCTAATAGAATTAAATTTTTTTCTTAAAAAGGAGAGGAATGAAGCTATGCAAGGTCTGGGCAGGTTCTGTGCTCTCAGAAGAAAGGCATCTAGGCTCCTCCCCGTATAGGAGGAACCAAGTAGCCAGAGAATTTAGGAAAGTCAGATTTACCTTTGGGAATTTAGAGACAGCTGAGTAACTCTACTATGATTTTAAATGCACTTGTGGTATAAAATGTATCTATCTGCTTCCTGCTGATGAAATTATTTTATAAAGAAGCCTCTGTTTCATATTTACACACAAATGATATAAAAATGAAAATGTGTGGGTTTAGATTTTACTAAAATATCCTCATCCACTGAGAACTTCCATCACCTGTCATTTTACCTCAACTCTCAACTCCTGTCATCATCAGCAACTTCAGTGTTCATCTACGATCTGCATTTCCTAACTCTGCATAAGTCACCTATAAACTTTTACACAACACTGATGTTTAGATCTTAGCTGCAAAGATTAGGACTTAATTATCTGGATGGGGCCCAGACATTCATATTTAAGAGCTCTCTGGGTGACTTCAATGTACAGTGAGGACTGAGAGCCTCTAATCTAAATCCCTGATCCAAAATCTAGCCTCCAAGTTTTCCTGATCTCAACTCCAATAACATTCACCCACCCTCTGTCCCTACCATCATCCACTGGACTTTAATCAGCCAGAACTGTCCTCTCCTGGAAACTACACTTCAAAATATCAATTGCCTATCTTTCTACCACACTGTGGTCTTCAGCCTCACTGAGCCTTGCTCACTTCTTTCAACCCACTGTCCCTCCCACAGCCTTACCTCCTTTCTGAATCAGCCTGTAACACATAATATATTACCTCAGTAATTCTCTGAGTCAGAACCTTCAATATCCTTATCTTTCTGAGTCCACCACTCATCATGCAATCTTAAATCAATACAACAACTTGCTTTCTCCACTCCTAAACTGGGCTACTTAGGTAATAAAGCACACATTCCTGCAGACTGGTGCCCCTATAATACTACAGTGCACAAGCCCACTGCCCCTCAGTCAGTCTTTTTAAATACCTCTAGTGAGGAGATACCAACAATGGCTACTCCCAATTCAAGGCTGGCCTTAAGTCGCCCTCTACCACCTGTACTTTCAGGGGATGATCTTGCTACCCCTTCAGAGAAAACAAAGGCTATTAGGTATGAACTTTCTCAAATCCATTCTCACACAATGACCTCGAGATCTGAAGGGCCCTTCTTATGTCTTTAGGACAACTAATTATTCCCATCTTAAAATTCACTCCTCCCCAGCTGCCTCCAATCTTAACTCTGAGCCAACTTCCACTGCAGTGTGTTCTATGACACAACACAGCATGCATAAATAATGCAGCATGGTGTAATAAATGGTGTAATGTAACTTTTTCCATGATTTGATCATGAATATTTCCCACTGTTGTCTGAAATTACATTTCTGTATATAAATCCCTGCCTACATTTTATGGCTTCTACAACATTCTACTGACTTCTATAAATGTTGTACCATTCAACACTCACAATTGTTTTGAAGATTAAGAAGTTTATATATAAAACCCCCCACTTACAGTAAGCAGGAACTAGTTAAATATGTAATTATAGTAAGTTACCACTTAAAAGTCATCCCCTCTCTAAATGTATCTTATTTTATAATTTGGAGTCATGTGTTACATTAAGGGAAAAAACCTAATTAGAAAAGGGAAAAAAAAAAGGCAATTCCCCAAAATTGAAAACAAACTAAAACAAATCCAACTATATATCCAGTTGGTGGCATAACCACACAGATAATTCTTTTAAGTATCCTTGAAATACAAATTCCTACAGGATATATCATTAGAAAGGTAGGGGTCCTAAGAATTTTTTTCCTAAAGTCATCCCTTTTTCCATCCCTGCATTACTCCCACATCATGTTTATCTATATCACTTTGTTTTGCTTTTCTAGGTAAACTATAATTTTATCAAATTGAATTTAACTCAAAGTTTAATTAGAAACTACAGTCTATAATAAATAATCTATAAATAAAACCTGGACAGAAATGACCTATAGTAATAATTAAGTCTACCCATTCTGAAATAGGGTAGGCCTCTTTCTTTCCTCTTTTTTTTTTTTTTCCTGGTTGTCAAATGATCCTTTATTGAAATATTTCCTTTGTAGTTCTTAACTAGCTGGACATTCCATTGCACCACTATTGATGTCATCTATGATGTCATGAGGGTGGCAGCCATCAACATTGCAGCCCACAGATTGGGCAGTCCCCAGGATCTCCTTAATGGTTCCAGAGAATTCTCTGGCTAAAGATCAGTGATGCATCTATCGAGCAATGTTGACGATATCATCATAAGTGATATTTCTACTGTGCTTAAAGTTTTTCTGCTTCTTTCAGTCTCTTGGCGGTTCCTTGAGGCCTTTGACAATCAGAGCAGAGGCAGAAAATACCACTTCAATCTGGGCCTGTCTTTCTGAATGGTCAGTTTCACTGTAATCCTCAGACCCTTCCAATCATCAGTTGCTTCGGCGAGGTCATCACCAACCTCTATTGGAGAAAGACTCAGGAGGCCAATCTTGGGGTCCAGGGCAGACATAGCACCAACTTCCCCATCAGTGCACCCCAGGTATATGACTTGGATCTTGTTGGGGTTGGGATCTCGAACTTAGGCAGCATGGTGGAGGCAGCTGGTGTCAGGATGAACCCGAATGTGGGACTACCAAGACAGTTGCACCTTCGCCTCCTCTAAGCCAAAAACCAAAAAACCCATCTTTTATCATTTTAGATCAACCCCAGCCTAAGCTGTAACCCAGGCCAAAAGACAATGCTGAAAATATATTATCCATCTAAGTGGGTTGTAGGACTTACTCAGAATACAGAAGTAAAAAAAAAAACAACATATAAATAAATATTTGTGCCCTTTGATGGTGTATGATGAATCTATAATATATCCACATAGTATCACCACAACCCAAATCCCCTGGTGCTTAGAAGGCGCCTGTGTAAAAGTTTAAGATTGACAGCTTCTTGACCCTCCCCAAACTTTCCCTTGGGTCTCTGCAGAGGATTTTGGGGAGAAAGTGCATATATTCACTCAATAAACATTGAACTCCTACTATGTGCCACATACTAGATGGTGCTGGGAATACAATAATAAGCAAAATGGCAAGCTCCCTGAGAAGAGAAAAGCCCTAATTAAAAATTTCCAATTCCCAAAGCAACAGAGAGACAAGTAGGACAGTATACTAAAAGCTGCCTGCCTGCCCCTGATCTGCCCCTACTTCATAATTTCACATATCCAATTTGCAAACATTTTTAGGAATACAGAAAAATAGGTGATAGCCAATAGTAGGAGCAGGTGCTTAAATACTCCTTCATTAACTGACAGTCCACCTTTATAAAGCCTCAAATTTTCTTCACAAATTCAATATAAAAATCCTCCATTTTAGAAATTTAAATAAGAAATATGAAATATAGATTACCTACATAAATGCTGTCTTTTATTTTCAAACTTTTAATTTTTAAAATATAAGCTTAATCTGTCTATATTTCAACTTAGACTGGTCAATTTTTGGCACTTAAAAGATTTTGCTAGGCCTAGCCTTGATGTACCAAATTCACTTAGATACTAGGTTTTGAATTATTCTACATCAGTAGCAACTTACACTGGGGTGATTTCGAGGAGGTACTCGTTCTCTTGGAAGTCTTTCATAGTCATATCGTCCTTCAGACCACATTTCATCTCTTCTGTAAGCCACTAAACAAAAAGAAACCAAAGAATTATGGTTTTTATGTTATTAGAAACAATAGAGATTTTTAAAAGAGTAGTTACATTTTTTTTAAGTATCTCTGGAAAATATTTGTTGGAATGTAAGTGACCAAAAGGAAAAAAAGAACGATTAAGGCAATTCTTCTTCAAACAATTCGGAAATGTTCTTTCTAAAAAAATGTAATAGAAAGCCCCACGCTCCATTTCAAAGTCTATTTAAAGCTTCAAAGAGCTTGTTCCCAACAATTGTGGTAAAAAGATCCATAAGACCACAAATATTTTTTCATTCTTATAGTAAAAATTAGAAAAGATTCATTTTCATGAATAATTTACAATGCTGATCAGCAACGCTGCTCCTGTTTCCTGGTGGATGGTTTCTATAACACCAGTTTCTAGTTTTGCTGCATTCCTAGAGCTTTATCTCTTCTATGTGTTCAATTAAATGGTTTTAACTGAAAAGTGTTAAATAAACAATCCTATAAAAACATTCTCAACAAACCCTGAAATAAATCACTCTCGATTTTGCTTTTAATGCTATAAATCTATTTTAATGCAAAGGCACTCTCGTAAAATTTGAAATTAAAATAAAAGTTATGTCAGCATTTTTCATGTTTGGGATACAGAGAGAAGCCTCCTCCTTTGAGAGCTGATGTGTTCTGGATAGAGGGCTAATGCAGTTCACTATAGAGTCCAGATGAAAACAATATGTGAACAGGCAAAAGACAAGGTAAGCAAGACAAACAAGAGATGATGAGCAGAGGGTGCAGGAAATAGCCTGAAGGTCATTTATATAAAGTGGCAACACAATGGATCAGGGGTTGGCAAACTTTTTTATAAAGGACCAGACTAATATTTTCGGCCTTGCAGGTCATAGGTCTCTGTCACAACTACTCAATTCTACTGTTATAATATGAAAGCAGCCATAAGCAATACATATAAATGTAGGGGTGTGGCCGTGTTCCAAAAAAAAATTGTATTTACAAAAACAGGCAGGCACTCCACAGGCAGCAGCTCAACAACCACCAGAGTAGATGAGAAATGGTTAACAGAACAGAACCAGGAGAAAGTAAAGCAGGTTCTGACCCAAGAACTATGAACCATCCTGAAACACAGAAGGATAATCACAAGTGAGAAGTGAAAAATGGGACAAGTACTAAGTCAGAACCTTTGTAGTACATAGAAAATAGGGCAACAAGTCAAGACACATAGTCTGCAGATTTGTAGAAAAGGAAAATTTCTCAAAGATACATGTCAAAAGATTTTTGGTGGCTCTTTACGATGTAATAGCACCAAGAGTGGCGGCGGGCGGGGCGGGGGGGGAGATGACATTCCATTTTGGCAGTATAGCATTCTAATGGTTTAGGCTAAGAAAAAAAACAAAGGCTGGAAGATGAGGGCAATATTTTTTGACACTATCCACGGTACAATCTTAATTTTCTCTGTAAAAACAGACCTACAATATTTTCTAATAGAAACAGACGCAATAAAATGAACTAACTCAAATATGCCTAGAAAAATCTTAATTTAAGTTACAAATTAGCTTTTAACATTATACATAAATCAACCTAAATTCCAATCCATAATCAGACATCATCAAGAATGTTATTTCAGGGGCACCTGGGTGGCTCATTCGGTTAAGCATCTGCCTTCAGCTCAGGTCATGATCTCAGGGTCCTCTCCCTCTGCCCCTCTGCCCTTCCCCTACTCTGCACGCTCTCGCTAAGTAAAATCTTTAAGAAAAAAAAAAAGAGAGAATGTTATTTCAAAGTAACCAGTCTTTTAGGTACAAGAATTGATGGAAGCTTGAAAGAAAAAAAAGAAATTATCAAAATTACTCCTCCGATACCACTTTTACTGAACCCACCAAACCTGTGACTTGTTTATCCTACTTGAGGATAAACCAACTCCAATCAAATCACAGAAAAAAAAAAAGAACCCAAAATAAAAATGGACAAATGATATGAAGACAGTTCACAAAAAAAGGAAATACAATGACTCCATCTTTTGAAAAGATGCTCAACTTTCTTCAAAATAAGGAAGATGAAAACTAAAACTATAATGGGGTACTCATTTTCACCCCAAGCTCTGCAAAAATCAAACTGCTCTGACGAGAGAAAGAAAAGTAATACTCTCATATATTAATGAAACGAGTATAATTTGGTACAGATTGGGAAAAATGGGCAATATCTATTAAATGTTACACATATGCTTTGGCCTGGAAATTCTACTTCACTGTATACTTGAACAGGTGCATAGAAAAGACTGAAAGCAACCTAAAATGTTGGTCAGGAGGATACAGATTAAATAAAATGCTGTGCATTCAAATAAAGGAATATTATGCAAGCCATTTCAAAGAAAAGTAACCTCATATATAATATTGAAGGAATGCCAAGATACACTGATTTAAAAAAAAACAACAAAGGGTAGATTAATATATTGAATATGCTGGCACTTTGGGAAAATAAAAAGATAGGGTATGAATATATATCCATACGCACAGACTACTTCTGGGAGTATAAGCAGGAGAAATGTAACAGTGCCTGCCACTGGGTGCCTGGGTATAGGAAGGTGAATATTTTCACTGCATAATGTTCTATACCTCCTATTATCTATAACAAAAATAAGTAACTACATTTAAAGGTCCTGGAAATCACTCAATAAGCATAATGCCTCAGTGGGAGGAGCTCAGTGACCCTTGATCTCAGGGTTTTGAGTTTGAGCCCCATGTGGGGTGTAGAGATTACTTAAATAAGTAAAACTTAAAAAAATAAGCATAACATCTCAAGTGATGGCAAAAATTATGAATATAAATTAATGCGCTAAAGGAAAACAAGTGAAAATAAGACTTTGTATTTAAGAAAAACTACAAGAGTTCTAAGGAAATACTATATAGTTTCTTAACTAGATATAAAGCTACAATATTAAAATTACTGGCTTCCCATACACACAAAAAAAATGTAAGAATAACTACTAAACTACTTACTTGAGTCCTTTCAGGAATCAAATTTAAAGTTTTCAACAATCTCCTGTAGGAGGGGGGGAAAAATACAGACATAAGGATTTGTGTCTGTATAAACCAACCAATGGAGAAAAATAACCCTTCATTATTTGTATAAATGAAACTCTCAAAATAAAAAAAATTATGACCATTAATAAGCCAAACTCCCTTCAAACACATCTTTAAAACAGAAGATATTCTTTTGACCACCAGAGGCCACCCAAGTTTCATAAGAACAACCGAATTATATTAAAGAATTCTAGTCCTAATTTTGCCAGTTGAGAGCTGGGCAGGGCATCTCTCTTAGCCTTCTCTCTGAAAGAATTGCATTAGATGTTTAAAGTAATTTTTACCTAGAATATTAAGATTAAAATATCTCACATACTGAAAAAATTCTAGCATCCTTAGTCTGGAAATCCTTACAATTTTATATTGGCAATAAATGGTCCCATGTTCAAGTCATCTCAAAATCAAGGCAAGAATCATCAACTCATCAAAGATTATTAAACTAACTAGGTAAAAATTTGATGGAGAACTTTTTTTTTCCGTTTTTTTTTTAGTATAGTTGACACCCAACATTACATTAGTTTCAGGTGTATGACAGAGTAAATATACATTATGCTATCTATACTCACAAGTGTAGCTACCATCTGTCACCATACATCACTGTTAGAACAATCATTGACTATATTCTCTATGCTGTGCTTTTTACTCCTGTGACTTTATTCCAGAACTCGAAGCCTGTATCTCCCACAACAGAGAACTTTTTAAAACTTTCTCCCAAGGGGCTCCTGGGTGGCTCAGTTAGTTAAGCGTCTGCCTTCAGCTCAGGTCATGATCCCAGGGTCCCAGATCCAGCTAAACAACCAGCTCCCTGCTGAGCAGGGAGTCTGCTTCTCCCTCTGCCCTCCCCCCTGCCCCCGCTCGTGCATGCATGTTCTTTGTCAAATAAAATTTTTAATAACAACTTTAAAAAATTACTATATATTTTCAGAATAAAGAATATAAAAATAGGGGCGCCTGGGTGGCTCAGTTGGTTAAGCGACTGCCTTCGGCTCAGGTCATGATCCTGGAGTCCCGGGATCGAATCCAGCATCGGGCTCCTTGCTCAGCAAGGAGTCTGCTTCTCCCTCTGACCCTCCCCCCTCTCATGTGCTCTCTCTCATTCTCTCTCTCTCAAATAAATAAATAAAATCTTTAAAAAAAAAGAATATAAAAATAGAAAACAATAAAAGACTAAAAATATATACGCAGTAGTGGTATTGCTCAGTCATAGGGCACTCTTTTTTCTTGATTATTCTTTTCACTTAATCCACGTTTTTTTTTTAAATTCAAGTTAGTTAACATACAGTATAATGTTGGTTTCAGTGTAGGATTTTGATTCATCACTTACATATGGTACCTGGTGCTCATCACAGCAAGTTCCCTCCTTAATACCTATCACCCATTTAGCCCATCCCCCTGCCCATAAAAAAAAACAAAAAAGATACTGATATTTTAGTAAGACTAAACAGAGCTTGCTGGAGCAAAATAATTAGCAACCACCAGGATAAAACACCACCTCCCCTCCCCGCAAAAAAAAAAAAAAAAAAAAAAAGACCCGCACAGGGGCGCCTCGGTGGCTCAGTCGTCAAGCGGCTGCCTTCGGCTCCGGTCGTGATCCCAGGGTCCTAGGATCAGGCCCCGCATGGGGCTTCCTGCTCAGCGGGAAGCCTGCTTCTCCCTTTCACACTCCCCCTGCTTGTGTTCCCTCTCTCGCTGTGTCTCTGTCAAATAAACAAAATCTTAAAAAAAAAAAAAAAAAAAACCCGCACTAGTGAGGCCCATGTCAAATTATGAAACATCCTTCACCCTTAAGAAATCTATATAATTAGGGAAAGAGGAGTATAAATATTCCCTATACAACCTTGTACTGTTAGTAAAACAAAACAGAAGACACAGTTTGATGATTACATACAAAAGAAAAGAAAGAATATTGGACTATAAAGAAGGTAAGTCTTAAGCTGGATCTTGAATTAAAACAACAGAAAGGGGAAAAGATAATCTATTCAGCAACCTTCTGATTAGTAGCACATGTTGTTTATGACATTACCCAGATTTAGAAAATTGACCCATCCCACAACTAGAACCAATCAGCTAAATTTAAGCAAAGATACTCTCTCACTGAAGTGATCATGTTACTGTGTAATCACTAATCTCCCATAGTGGAGTCCAGAAGTACTCCAGTAAAGTTCTCTGATCCAACAGGATATGAAAACTGAAGAACAGAACTGAAAAATGGAAGGACCCTCTACATCACAACTAGGCAGAGAACAGGATTAGAATTCAGTATAGAGAATGTAAGCTTCATTTAGAAGTTTGCTAATTCTCTTATGCCATATTCATTAGAGAGTATGTTTAATATACCACCATGGTATATCAAATCCAGAAAGAAGTAAGCCTTTTTTTCAGCACCCCAGAGAGCCAACCATTATTAGGTTGACTTACTTGAGGACTAAGAGAATACGGAGGACTGGAATTCCCAGTGAGAGTAGCCTAGAAATTGAGAAAACAGAAACTCACAGGCAATAATACCCTTCTGTCAAACCATTCACACTTTGAATCCACAGGCAAGGCAATAGGTAGATCTATTTTTCACCTTATCCAAACTGGTTATAGTAGCAGCTTAGACCATAGAATAACTGTGCACGCTGCTCTTTTCAGCTTCCAGTATTAAGTACACTCAGAATTTAAAAAACAACAACAACAACAACAAAAAACCAGGGCGCCTGGGTGGCTCAGTCAGTTAAGAAGCATCTGCCTTCTGCTCAGGTCATGATCCCAGGATCCTGGGGTGGAGCCCCATATCGCATCGGGCTTCCTGCTCGGCAAGGAGTCTGCTTCTCCCTCTGCCCCTCCTCCCGCTTGTGCTCTCTCAATAAATAAATAAAATCTTAGAAAAAAAAAAACAAAATAAAATAGCTTTCCCTCCTCTCCAAATCCACTCCTTTCACTCTATTTTCATCAGTAACTATTTTGATAGTGAACTATGGCTAGTGAAAAGTCACATACGACCTTATACTCTAGATGAGCATTAGGCATTTGCACTGGCAATTCCCCACCTAGAATGTTTTTCTCCAGCAATCTGCATGGCTAACTACTTCTTCCTTCATTATTATCTTCTTAATGTCATTTATCTAATCCCCCTAAAGCTTCCTATTCTTTTCATAGCACTAATCATCTAAGATACTATATAACTTATTTTTGATGCATATTATTGGTCCCTTGCTACCAAGAATATGAACTGCATGAAAACAGGGATCTCTATGTTCTTTATTAATAATAAGCACCTAGAACAACTTCCACAATGTATTTGCTCAGTGTTCATGGAGTTAATTTAATAATGCTGGTAATATGCCTCCTCTAGATAAATGATTCCCATATCTCCACTTCCATCCTGACTCTGTTCAAGAGAATATATCACAAACATCTGCAACCCAACATGCCAAAAGTTCTTCACACTTCTCAGAAACCTGCTTCATCTTCTGTCTTCCCCATTTTAGGCAATGACAACACCATGTACCCAACAGCCCAAATCAGAAACCTGAATCATCCAAGACTCGAAACTTTTCATATCTAACTATTCATTAAATCCAGTTATTTTTTTTAAAGATTTTATTTATTTATTCATAAGAGACAGAGAGAGAGAGAGGCAGAGGGAGAAGCAGGCTCCCCGCTGAGCAGGGAGCCCAATGTGGGACTCGATCCCAGGACCCTGGGATCATGACCTGAGCCGAAGGCAGACGCTTAACCATCTGAGCCACCCAGGCGCCCAAATCCAGTTATTTCTATTGCCTCATTATATAAATATCAGTTGCTCCTCATCTAGCTATTGGACTCCCCAGCAGTAAAACACTTCTCTCTGCTTCTCCCTCGCCCTATAAATTGTAGCCAGAAAGTTCATTCTGATAAGACACCTGATTTAAAAATCTCTCAGTAATTCCCCATATACTGAAGAATGAAGATTCAACCCTAACCTTAAAAAAAGGCTTATTTATGACCTTGCTTTTGCCTTTCCAGCTTCACCCCCACCACTTCCCCAACAGCTTAGCACACTTTTCCTCTGTCCCTCGCCCTGCTCATGCTCTCTCTCAAATAAATAAAATCTTAAAAAAAAAAAATCTTAAACTCATCTCAGTATGAGATCCACTGACCTTAAAGCAAGGTAAACATATTCCAGACATGTTACATTGAAGCAAGAAGATTTTAAGGACTGACTTCAACCCAGAAACTAGATATTACTAATATTTATTGGAAAATGTTTAAAATTCCAGACAACTAAATTAAAAATGAATTTTAGAACATAATTAGTGAAGGTCTATGAAAATAAACGAACACTGATGTCAATTAACATGGTCAAAATAGAGCAAAATATCTACTAAGATTAATCCCTGTTCCGTGCTGAGGGGGATAAATGTAGGAAATGGTAGTTAAGAAAGCCAAGAAAATTTAAATAGAGTCTTGAGAGATTGCTTAAATGTGGATGAATAATGGAATCCAAAAAAAAAAAGGTAAAAGAATTATGGAAGATGTGTCTGAGAAAGTTGGAACTGATCAGAAAGGAAGATTTGCATTGCAAAGGAACAGAAAGTAAGCCTGCATAGGAATTCGACAAGCTCTCCTTTCCTCCCCTTTAGTAGATATTACCTCTCCTATTTCAGATAAAGCACAGAGGCTCTGAAAAGCTCAATCTCAGAGCCAAAGCCTGGAATCATTCAGGTCTGCATGACTTTAAATCCCACGCCCTTTTCATCATATCACATTGCTTCACAAAGGTAACAGGCAAAGACAGAACACATTCAAGTGCATTAAAAAGTAAGCAGCTAGAGGAGAAGCTCACTGCAGGCTTTTAAGTCTAGAAATAAGGTGCAGGGGAAAATATCATTCCAGAAGATTAACCTGACAGTATACAAGACAGATTAAAGGAGGGGGCGCCTGGGTGGCTCAGCCGGTTAAGCGTCTGCCTTCTGCTCAGGTCATGATCCCAGAGTCCTGGGATTGATCCCAGAGTCCGGGGATCAAGCCCCGCGTCGGGTTCCCTGCTCCGTCGGGTTCCCTGCTCCGCGGAAAGGCTGCTTCTCCCTCTGCCTGCTTGTGCACTCTCTCGCTCTCTGTCTGACAAGTAAATAAAGTATTTCTCAAAAAAAAAAAAAAAAAAAAGACAGATTAAAGGAGAATAAGGCTTAAGGAAAAGAGACTACTGACTACTAACTTAAAGTACTGCATTCTCTGCTAGTTTCACAAATTACTTGATTTTTCGTGCTTTAAGGATACCTCTTATATAAGCCCCACTATACTGTATTAAATACTTAGGAGATTCTTGATTGTTCAATGTAAGTGATCAAGTAATTGAAATTATAAAAATACCAGATGTTTGCCTATATATGTTTACAAATCTAAATCTTACTTCCATCTGGATAAAGCTTACAATCTTAACTGCTCAACCTCCTTCCAGTCTCAGCTCTCCTCTCCATTCTACCTTTAAAAAAGGATACTCAGTTAACTTTGCTAATACATCATCCATATCTGAAGTTTCCCTTATCAAGAATCTAAATTGTTTCACATCAATTAACTGTAACAAATCCAAACTCCTCTGCCCTCTCTCATCTCACCTAAACTCCTGTTCTCTCCAAAAAGATGTGTGCCAGCCTCCTCACTGTGCCACAAAGTAACACACACACCACCCTGGAGTTATTTGATATATTTCTCAAACTACAGTACCTCTTTCCATTCTCTCATTCAACTTCGAACCATCCGTGAAGACCAAGCTCAAAATCTAGTATTCTCCACAAAGCCCAATTCTAGGCCCTACCACACTAAAATGGATTCCAAACTGGTAACTGATAGGCTGCATGTGACATGTGTTTGGCCCAGGGTTTCTTTGGTTTTGTTTTGTTTTGTTTGTAATAAAACGTTATTCCATTGACAACACTTAAAAACTGAGAGATATCACTTTCCAAAACCATATTTCTATTATTGAAAAACCTACATGCTCTGGCAACACTGGAATCATATTCTCACAAAGCCACAATCAGCTGAAGCTAAGTAGCAGCTGATCCCTTTCCAAAGGTTCTTAACATCTTAAAGTCAGATGACATGTCAACTGCCCAACTTCTGAGACTGTATCTGCAGCAGTTTCAATCAAAGAAATACCTGACTGCCTATGGGCACTGGAATTACAAAAATAAACAAGAAAATAACAGTCCCTCCCCCACAGCCTAGCTCAGTAGAGAAAGCAAAGAGACAAGCAATTAATTAGCACACATGTGGTAAGTGCTATGATGAGGAAAGTAGAGGGCACTTAGCATATGGCAAGGGTATCTAACTCCCTCTGGGGAAAGTTACAAAATATCCCTCAGAAAGTCATAGGGAAAGTGAAACCCTTAGCAGGTGTAGGGATTATCCACAAAGAGGTAGAAGAAAGGTCAGAGAAATCAAATGCTACAAGAGAGAAAAGAAAACTCTACAAAGACCCTGGAGGTGGGGAGGGAGGAAAAATATTCTGAGGAAGTGAAATCAATTCAATACAGGCAGAGCCATCAACTTAACCTCAAATGCAGGTGTCAGAGAAAGGACTCAACTGAAAGGGCAGGAGGCAAAAAGCCAAGTGCTGGTTATGGTCAGGAGATGAGAGTTTCCATCAAGCGGAAGAACATGTTAAGAGTTTGTTAGCAGGGAACAGAGGTTTCAGCGAGCTCAGCTGTTGTGTTGAGGGGTGAAGTGGGTAAGAAAAGGAGGGAAAAGCAGTGATAGCCTAAATCAAGGGAGAGGAAGTACAAAGCAGCATGGGGATGAGGGTGTAGCATAGAAGACCAAAGGGGCTTACATCTTCGGCGGTAACCAAAAATAACGGGGATGTGAAGCATGGTAGCTTTGGCTGGCCACAAGTTTGCCAAGAGAATTAGTCCCAGCGGTCCCCTGGTGGATGTGGAGGCATTCGGGCTGCGCCCTGGATGCACTTCCTTCTCTCTAGAAGACACCGGCTTCAATCTGGATTGATTGCGTGCAGACTCCAGGAGAGGCTCTGGATTCCAGGCTGCTGACACGCAGGCTCCCAAGGAATGGTTAGAGGCCTGGTCTGTGTGTGCTGGTGGGTAGAAGTATAAACTACCCTGTATTAGTTTCTGATTTTTCTGTAGGGGTGATGGGCCCGTTCACCTCCTCTTAAGAGAAAAAGCAGTGTGTGCCCATTATAGATTTACAGGACGGAAAAAGGCGCCAAGTAGTCCAACATTTGTCCATACCAACTCAAGATGAGTCATTCTGTGAATCCGAGTTGACCTTGTCTCAACTAGACTCAGATATCCGCCAGAAAAAGGCCTGTTTTACACTTTTTTTGTAGCTCTCAAAGTGCCTAATACTAAACCGGTACATCGAACACATTCTTTAAATTTACCGACTTCCTAACTTATCTTGGGTCACTGAAGTTACCTAGTTCAGTCTTCTTTCTGCATAATAAGGCGCTAAAGAGAAGCAAACCTGTGTCTCAGACTCAACAGTTTCCTTTATTCCAAACTCCACTGCGTCTCTACACCCTCCACCGCAAGGGCAGAATTACTGCACGAATCAAATGCAACGGGAGACTCCAAGACCCGCCACGGAAAACACCGGCCCTCCCACCCGCCCGCTCGCTCGACTCGGGCGTAGCAGCCCCCGCGCCCTGCCCTGTCCACCTCGTGGAAAGGTAAAATGCGCTCACCGACTCTGGGCCGCCGGGAGACCCCGCAAATGTAGTCGTCGGCTCGTCGCCCCTCTCCTAAGCAGGCACTTCCGGCGCGCTCAAAGACGTCAGCAAAAGCGCCCGCCTCCGGAGCCTGGGTCTAGCTACAGCCAGGAAGAGGCGTTGCTGTCGCTGCCTTCTAGTCTCCGGCGCTTGACCCCTCCCAGGACCCGTGATGCCAAGGCCCCAGCGGGGGACGAGGAAGAGTCCGGGTTGAGCCCCAGCTGAGTCGAGGGCTCGCGCTCTAGTCTCCCAGGCCCGCCCTACCTAAAGGTAAACGCTTCCTCAGCCGCGGCCTTTCTCCCAGCGAGCCCCTCCCCAGACCCGGCCGCGAAAACGATTTGCCCCTCTCCCCGGTTACCCTTTTTATTCCGGGCCATTTACCGTTGCCCGCCCTCGCAGTTCTCCCCAGAACGGTAACGCATAGTTTCAAATGGGAAACTTTTAAGATGTGGAGTTCCTGAACTTGTCTAATAAATTCCAAGAAACATCTCAAGCATCAAGCAGTTTTCCTATTACTCCGCGAATTGGCACGTCCTACGGTCAATATTGTGCCATTTGTGATGGCCCCTACCCCCCCCCATCTCAAATACACACCACACAAGCTTTTTAAATCGAAATCTGAACCTTGTTAAGTACGATATAATTTTCACGGATAATCTGCTTTGTAAAATACGCTATAAAAATTAACTACAAATTACATTTGTAAGCTAAAAATACATATACAAGTCAGTATCTTTCAAGGCATGGAAACTTATTCGTATAGTAAAATATACCATTTCATTATTTACCAGTACTGTGCAAAATGGGTGATTTGAAAGAACTTTGTATCATCAAAATGTGAGGCTAAAATTTTCTCTTAACACTACTGCAAAGAAAAATATTAAGACAACCAAAAAAGTACCCCAAACCAAAGCAGTAGTGAAAATGAGCGGCTACAGTTCTTTCTGAGCTAGCAGGCTGTTTATGATGTGGTAGGCAAGGTATTAAGCCTTTTCAAAAGCACTTTTTTGCCCTTAGCTTGAGGGAAGGTTAAGTGAAGCCTCAGAATTTTTTATTTATCTGTTTAAAACTCATTCTGCCTTCATACCATATAATCCAGCACTATAATGGTTAAAGACTCTACTTGAAAGAAAGACCAGAAAGCTCCTTTTCAGTAATATCTGGGGAAAAGAAATTCCTTAATTCACCCAGCTGGAGTAATTGTTAATCCTAAAAAGTGAGGAAGGTGTATTAAATGTGGCATAATTAAATCAATGCTTGTATATATTGGTTCTGCTTAGAATGAAGAATACCTGGTTTAGATTGCTTCTGGGTTTGTTTTTCGTTATAGAGATGAGTGGTGGATTGGCCCCAAGTAAAAGCACAGTGTATGTATCCAACTTGCCCTTTTCCCTGACCAACAATGACTTATACCGGGTAAGTAACTTTTAGTACAATTGTCCACTGAACTCTCTACTGAGGTACAGATGTAGCTTAAGCACACAGTTCTCTTCAGCAAAATTCTTAATAACTACATTACAATGCACTTGAACCATCAATAGCAAAGACCTCTATTGCAAACATAAGTAAAGCAATTGACAATTTTGTAATTTCCCAAAGAGAGTTTACAGTGCTTTCATAGAGAATAACAAGTTCTTTATAAACACAGAAGACACAGCTAGCATAATGAAGTGGGAGCAACATGTGATAGGCTGGTTTTTCCTGCTTGCTTACTTGGTTTTTTTAAACTGGTACGGTGGAGGTTTTGGAGGAAAGGGCTGATGAAAGCAAACAGATCCCTTTACTAACCCTCAAATTCTAAAAGGATATTTTAGTTTATATATATGGCAGAAACCGAACAGTTTAATGTTGTTTTTCAGTTCAGGATGGGGTTGGGGCAGAATCCAACATCTTCTTTCACCTCTTCACCTTACAGAGAACAAAATTTCCTGCTGTCCCTGTCCTGCAGATGAGTGGTTAAGAGGAACTGGAAGGAATGACATGAATCCTTTCTTCCAAGTGTGCCCTCTTCTCTCTGCTTCTTTGGGTGGATGTTAAGTACAGAGATGCTGCATAGGTGATACATAGTATTTGATTAATTACTTAACTGAGATAGCCTGAGTCTCAAATAACAAAGGAAAAAATGCACTTTAGCTTATTTCCTTGTATCAAAATAGAGATATGTCTGTATTTATTGAACACTTACCATATGCTGAGCACTCTTATAGGTACTAAGAATACATCAATGAACACAAAGATGAAAATCTATCTTGGCACTCATAACATAGCAAGATAAAACAATGTGAAATATAAAAAAGTCAAATGATATTATTCTTTGGATACTAAATTAATGCTAAGATGTCAGGTGCTAAGGAGAAAAAATAAAGGAGGTTAATTGTCAGGTTGGGATGGGGCGCCTGGGTGGCTGAGTCGTTAAGCATCTGTCTTCAGCTCGGGTCATGATCCCAGGGTCCTGGGATCAAGCCCCACATTAGGCTCCCTGCTCCACGGGAAGCCTGCTTCTCCCTCTCCCACTCCCCCTGCTTGTGTTCCCTCTCACGCTGTGTCTCTCTCTGTCAAATAAATAAATAAAATCTTAAAAAAAAAAAAAGTCAGGTTGGGAATGGAGATAACGTTTTACATGAGCTGTCTAAAGCCCTTATTGAGAAAGTAACTTTTGAATAAAGACCTAAAGGAAGTCAGAGACAGCTGTGTAGATGTCTGGGGGAAAAGCATGTCAGGCACAGAGTAAATCCAGTGGAGAGGGAGGAAGGGCAGTCAGAGGAAGGTAAGCCTATGAAGGGATGCCAGGTAGGGCCTACATAGATAATGGTAAGGACTCTGAGTGAAATGAGAAGCCATTAGAAAGTGTTACACAGAAGACTGTTTTGGTCTTCAAGATTCAGTGTTTCTAACACTGCAATCCAGTTATACTACATTCCAGCATTACACAACTTAATCATAAAACTCTATTATTAATTGTGTATATTAATATTTCTGAAAGATCTTTCTAAGACATAATAAATAGGAACTATTAGCATATATGTAGTGGCTGAAACAAATAGATGAGATTGCTTAGGTTGAAGATGTAGAAGTAAATGGGAAGATAGGGCCAAGTGTAAAGAACCACCAACATAGTAAGAGCGCGCAGAAGGAGGGAGACTGATGGGAAGGGATTTTTATTACAGAAGCTTTTTTGTTTTATAAGCAGTCTAAGGATCCATCTTCTGAAACAGTTATTGCTTAATGGGGTTAGCTAGGAATAATGATATTCCACAACACTGATATTTGAAGCACGATTTCTCTGGGGCTATGGTGGGGTTGATAATTGCCATGGATATACCACAAAAACACAGCAGCTGTGCAATGTGTATGCCCTCAATCTACCACACATAAAGAGTGGGTTTTTTCCTCCGCACTCTTTTGTGAGAAATTTAGAAATTGGGGCAGATACCTGTGACTCCAATAACAAAAATATGAATATTATTCTAGTCACTAAAAAACATATATCTTCTAGGGCCTACTTTATAGAATAAAGGCTAAAATTTTTCACAAGCTTTAACAAAGAACATAGTTAATACAACCTGAAAATCTAATGTTTCTTATGATTTAAAATTAAATTGTAAATTATTATGTGGTCTTTTGTTTCAGATATTTTCCAAGTATGGCAAAGTTGTAAAGTAAGTATTCACTTCAAATTTTGAAACCTCATTTAAAAGTTTATCTGAATTTACTTTTCCATTTTTTAAGATTTATTATTTTTCGATAAAATGGATATTTGATATAACAAAGAAAAAATGCTACTGTTTTTATACATATTTCGTTCATTTACGAGTATATAAACATTGTATAGACAATTTTTTTAAAGACTTAATTCTATACATGCAATTTTGTTGTCTTTTTTTAAAACTTGACATTATACTATAAACATCTTACCATGTACTTGAAAGATACACCCTTGTAGCTAATGATCTCATGATATTCCTTTATATATCATAATTTATTTAAACAATTTCTTAATCATACTACTAAGAACTAAAACTGATTCTGTTATCCAATATAAGACATAAAGGCTCTGATTAAATACATATTTTGGTTATTAGAAGGTGTGTTATCAAGTATACCAGAAGTGGATTTCACTTGTCAAATAAGTAGAATGTAAAAAAACAAATATTTTGACATGCAAAGTGCTTATGAGACTGATAAATAAATAGAAAACATATTCTCTGCTTTCATAGAAATTTTAGAGATCATTGGAAAGACTGGAAACATACAGAAATGGTAGGGATGATAATATCATTTGGAGCTGAGAGTTACAAAAGGATAAAAGGAACTTCATATATTTAATTCACTATTTTAAATCAAACTTGTACCTGTATTATGGGGAAAAGAAGTAAAAGCAGGGTATTATTATTCTAACTATCTTACAACCAATATATATTCTGGTGTAAATGTGAAATTGTATTTAAAATCCGAGAATTTAGAACATATTTTGGCCAGTTTTTTCTAGCTTTGGATAAACGGTAAGAAAATCATCAAAAATGCTTCTAGGTAAATTTTTGTGTCTTTAGAATTTTTTTTTAGATTTTTATTCCTTTATTTGAGAGAGAGAGACAGAGACAGCAGGAGCAGGGGGGAATAGGCAGAGGGAGAGGGAGAAGCAGACTCCCTGCTGAGCAGGGAGCCCCATGTGGGGCTCGATCCCAGGACCCATATATCATGACCTGAGCTAAAGGCAGACCTGAACTGAAGGCAGACACTTAACCGACTGAGCCACCCAGGTGCCCCATGGATCTTTGGAATTTTGAATAGTCATTATTACCAGTCAAATCACTAATAATGATGATATGTGACAATGAGCACATAAATATGCTAGGCATTGTTCTAATCTTCCTACATGTATTACTTCATTAAATTCTCACAACTACCTTTTAAGGTAAAATACTATTATTATCCTAATATTATAAATAACAAAACTGAAGCACACAATAAACTTACATATTGTTAGTTAGTGGTGGAGACAAGATTTGAAATCTAACAGTTTGATTTGAGAGCCTGCTCCCTTAACCATACCATTACCTTTTCTTGGTTTTTCCCATCTGTCAGAATCTCTGAATGAATTTCTATACAAACATAAAATTAAAAATCATGAGAATGCTATGAAGTCAAAGACAGAGTTATAAGCACCTATAAATAGGGAAGACATGATCTAGTCTGGATGGGGTAGGTTTACCTAAGTCAGTATACTTTGAATTGAAACCTTAAGGCAGAAAGAATGGGAAGAACGTTTTAGGTAGACGGACTACCTGTGTAAAAGCCCTGGGGCAAGAGAAAATAAAGTGAGATCAAGAAACAGAAGGCCAGGGGCACCTGGGTGGCACAGTTGGTTAAGCATCTGCCTTCAGCTCAGTCCTGGGATCAAGCCCCACATTGGGCTCCCTGCTCAGCGGGGAGCCTGCTTCTCCCTCTCCCTCTGCCTGCCTCTCTGCCTACTTGTGCTCTCTCTGTCAAATAAATAAATAAAATCTAAAAAAAAAAGAAAAAAGAAACAGAAGGCCAGTATAACTAGAGATGAGTGAGCAAGAGGGAGAAAGCACAAAAAGGGTCTAGAGCTGGAAGCAGGTTCCTAATCTTGCTTCTTGGCCGTGTTACAAGATACTTGGTTTTCATCCTAAGAATACCAGGAATTCACTGGTACAGAATTTTAAATGAAGGAGGAACATGATTTGAATTTTTAGAAGCTTATTCTGGCTTCAATGTAGAGATTAGATTGGCAGGAAACGAGCAGATGCTAGCAGACCAGTCAAAAAGCTGTAACCATAGCCTAGGGGAGTAATGTGCACTAAGGCAGTATAGGTGGAGAGGTAGAGACTGGACAGATTTGAGAGATGGTCAGATGATCAATAGGCTATCAAATGGGTAATATTTAATGATGTACTTAGTATGTAAGGTTTGGGTGAGTGAGAAAGGGGTGTTATGGATGACACCCAGGTTTCCCAGGATAGTGTCTGTTTCATATTATGGCCTTAAATGAGTACATCTCCTACCAGAAACTTGGGAATAGAATATTTGGTGTAATTATTTTGTTCTGTTACCATAGAAGGTATCTCTGTCAAAGTACTGTATTGTAATTGGTTTATAGGTCTCTTTACCTCTAGACTCTAAGCTTTTTTCCTGAAGGTAAAAAACCTTGTCCTAGGGCCTTTAATTAATCAGTGCTTAAGTGTCTGGATGGAGTGACTGACTGACCACATGAATAAACAAATAGATGCACTCTTGAGAAACCAGTTTCCCATTTGTATCTTTTTGTTTTAACGTACTGAGCTAGGCATAATAGAGATTACAGATACAACCTTAAAGGAGTTTATATTAAAATAGGTCAGATGAGGCATTGTTCTTACATAACAGACTTCAATAGAGACTAGCAGAAAGAGAAATTATTTCCAGTTAAAGAGATTAGAGAACTGACATGTTCTGAGCTCTGAAGAATGAGTCAAGTTTTGATGGGCAAAGACTGAGAGTTGAAAGGAGACAGAAGCCATGTGAATAGAGGTATCAATTTGGAGAAGTACAGGCCATGCTCCATGAACATTGAGTAGTTTGTTGTTGCTAGCCCTCATAGTTTGTGAGAAGTAGTGAAAGATGAGGGAAGTGGGAGCCAAATCATAAAGGATATTGATTCAAGACCAAACCATAGACAAATTGAAGAACCAAAGATTTTTGAGCAGAAGAATGACATGATTTTATTTACTTCTTAAGTAGAAATGCTCTCAGTGGCATATGAGAGCATTAACATCAAGGGAACTAGTAAGAATAATACACTGTTGAAATAGCAGTGCCACTGTGGACAAGAAAAGCTGTGGGAATGAAGAAAAAGGGAACAGATGAGAGACATTATTAACTGAGGATGACTTCGAAAGCTAACACTTCTGAAATAGTACTTTAGAAAAAAATGATTAATGACTTTAACTGACCTTCACAAATACCCTGAAAATTCCAAAAAGTTAAAGTAACTACTTTCTATTTCTTTCAAAATTGGTTGAAAACTTTCTTTCGTATCCTCAATAACTGTGGTGACTCTAAACAAGCGTTGTCAAGTGCTTCTTTCCTTCTAAGCCCCATGAATAAACAGATGTACTTGTCTGAGAAACTAAACCATTTTGTCCATTTTCCCCTAAACTATTTCAACTTATGTTTCCTTTTTGAATGAAAAAGATACCCCTTTTCTTAATATAGTGGCATCTTTTTACCAATTTCATTCCAGTGACTATTTAAGTACCTAAACCCAAATCCATTTAGAATAAATTTTAATATGTGAAATAAAATGTTAAATAAAATATCCATTTATTTATTTACTTGTACCTCTTGTCTTTTCCTGTTAATTCAGGTTTTAGAAAATTATTATGCTTTGTCTTAAACATTGTCTTTTTTTTTTTACTACTTGAAAATAATTGCAGGGGCGCCTGGGTGGCTCAGTCGTTAAGCGTCTGCCTTTGGCTCAGGTCATGATCCCTGGGTCCTGGGATCGAGCCCCACATCAGGCTCTCTGCTCGGCGGGGAGCCTGCTTCTCCCTCTCCCACTCCCCCTGCTTGTGTTCCCTCTCTCGCTGTGTTTCTCTCTGTCAAATAAATAAATAAAATCTTTAAAAAAAAAAAAATAAATAATTACAAATTTTAAAAAAGTTGCAAAAATAGTAGAAAGAACATCAAAGTATCCTTTACCCAGATTCACCTATTGTTAACATTTTACCCATTTACTTTATCATTTGCCCTCTTCTCTCTCCTCGTGTGTGTGTGTGTGTGTGTGTGTATGCACATGTATATATGTATGTATGTACATACACAATTTGTTTTTGTGAGTTATTTGAGGGTAAGTTACATCATTGCCCTTACGCCTAAGTACTTAAGTAAACTAAAAATACGGTTATATGTTACATAATCACAATAGGGTTACCAAATTCATAAATTTATACTGATAAAATACTTTTATTGAATCAATCATCCATGTTCCAATTTTGTCAGTTGACCTGATAATGTCCCACATAGAATTTTCCCCCCCAGTACAGTCTAGATTTAGGTGTTGATTTTAACTGTCCTATATTCTTAACCTCCTTTAATCTGGAACATTTATAAAGAATGTAGCTCGCTCTCTCATCTTTTTTCCACCCCTCATTTTGTGTTTTCCTAATGTTGCCTCATGATTACATTGGAGTTTTATATACTCTTGGCTGGTAACTGTATAGATGATGTTGTATTCTGTGTGTTTCACATCTGGATTTATATAGTGTCCATGTGTCCCTCATTAGTGATAGTAATTTTGATGGCCCAGTCAAAGTGTTGACCAATTTCTCCACTGTATAAATACCTTTTTTCCCTTTGATGCTAATACAGTCAGTGAGAAACACTCTTAAGACCATGTAAATATCTTGTTCCACATAAAATTTTCATTTTTTATTTTATTTTAAAGATTTACTTACTTATTTTTAGAGAGAGAGAAGAGGGAGGGGGCAGAGGGAGAGGAAGAGAGAGAATCTTAAGCAAACTCCACTTCCAGCACTTCCAACGCTGGCCCGATCTCACGACCCTGAGCCAAATCAGGAGCTGGATGCTTAACCGACTGAGCCACCCAGATGCCCAAAAATTTCATTTTAGATACTTGTTCATCAACAAATCATCATCTTGCTTGATCCACTCTTTACTATTATTGTTGCAAATGATGATTTTCCAACTCTAGCACTTCCCTTGACATTCTGCTGTAAGCAAAAACGATCCCTTCCCCCCAATTATTTATTATTAATACACTTATAAATTCCTACTTTTTTCTGTGGTTTATAATTCATTACTGTACTTCATTACTTTGGTACTCAAATTGTCCTAGATTTGGCCAGTGAGAGCTCCTTAAGCTGGCTTCTGTACTCCTGAGCCATTCCCCATCATTTTGTTTTTTTAAGTACTCCCTTCCTTTTTTTAAGCACATGTTTTAAGATCTTGAACCTACCCTATCCATCCTTGGAATCAGCCATTTCTCTGAAGATCCCTGTTGAGCACTGATTTTTTAAAAATATTTATTTATTTGACAGAGACATAGCAAGAGCAGGAACACAAGCAGGGGGAGTGGGAGAGGAAGAAGCAGGCTTCCCGCCGAGCAGGGAGCCCGATGCGGGGCTCGATCCCATGACCCTGGGATCATGACCTGAGCCAAAGGCAGACACTTAATGACTGAGCCACCCAGGCGCCCTGAACACTGACTTTTAAACTACATTTAATGACATATGATGAGCAAGGATCACAAGGACTAGGGATGTATAAAGGATCAGGAGAAAGAACAGGCTCTGTGATCTTAGCACCATCCCTATCACTTAGGTACTTTGGATAGTATGACTAAAAACCACAGAACTGGAGATTCTTACGGTGATAGGGATTAAGGAGTGTACTTGCTGTGATGAGCACTAGGTGTTGTATAGAAGGTTGAATCACTAAATTGTATGCCTGAAACTAATATTATACTGTATGTTAACTAACTGGAATTTAAATTAAAACTTTAAAAAGAGAATATTAAGAATATAGTTAGATTCTAAAGCCTAGGAAAAAATAAGTAAATCATTTTACTTTTTGTGTTGAAAAGAATACCTCAGTTTTGTTTTGTTTTATTTCTGCAGAGTGAGAGCATTAGTGGAAAAGAGGAATTATGCTTACTCTTCAAGATTTTGTTGTCTCTATAATCTCTGTAATCTCTTTATTTGATCCTTCAAATGTTTGACTTTTCAGGTATTCCTATCATAACTGTGCTCACTTTTGTTAAATTAGTATCACATTTTCTCCTCTCCATTCTTCTTGATATCCCATGACTTTGAAGAAATAGTTGATTTGTCAACTGTATTTATTTCTTTTATTCTGTAAATGTTTTGCTAACCCATGAGTTTTCCAAGTATTTATTAATAATCTGTTTTATTTATTGCTGCCTCATTATTTTTAACTGGCTATTTGTTTATACTTTAAGGGTTACTATAATGAAAGATAAAGATACCAGGAAGAGTAAAGGGGTTGCATTTATTTTATTTTTGGATAAAGACTCTGCACAAAACTGTACCAGGGCAATAAACAACAAACAGGTAAGGCCATTCATTCCCAACAAGACTTTTAATCCAAAAGCCTTTGCTCATCCAGGCCAAAAATGTGGGGATACAGTGGATGATCAAGTCATGGATACCAGTAGATTTTGAGGGTATTTAACCTATAGAAAAGAGGTCAAAATTATATTCATTCCCAAAACACTGGCAGAATCTAAGGAATAAAAATCTATTCTATAGGATGTTATTTGTCATACTCGACCAGGCAATTGATAAAGTAACCTAAAATAAAATGGAATTGAAAATTTAAGGAAATGGAATCAAATAACTGTAGTTTTAGGTTTCAATGAAATACATCCTTCTGCATTTACATTTTTCTCTGGTTTAGTTATTTGGTAGAGTGATAAAAGCAAGCATTGCTATAGACAATGGAAGAGCAGCCGAGTTCATCCGAAGACGAAACTACTTTGATAAATCTAAGTGTTATGAATGTGGGGTAAGTATACCTAAAACTTAATGTAATTTTCCATAGTTTATTTGAAGGTATTTTTCACATCAGTGCTTTATTTGTGCTCTCTAAAACTTCTGGCTGGCTAAAACCAGGTTATAAAAGTTTTACTTCGGGACTCTCTACTCATCTTAGAAAACGCAACTGAAAGATAACTTGAGTTAGGTAATATAGAGTGGTATTTTCTCCAGTTTCTAAATCTTTGAAAACTGTTAAATTAAAAAGCACCAGACGGGGGTGCCTGGGTGGCTCAGTCAGTTAAGTGTCTGCCTTCAGCTCAAGTTGTGATCCCAGAGTCCTGGGATTGAGCCCCGCATGGGGCTCCCTGCTTCTCCCTCTCCCATTCCCCCTGCTTGTGTTACCTCTCTTGCTGTGTCTCTCTCTGTAAAATAAATAAAATCTTTTAAAAAAAGAAAAAGAAACTAGAAAGGTATTTGGGTTTGGGGGGTTTTTTAAGAGAGCACATAAGCTGTGGGGGGTGCGAAGGACCCGAGCCAAAATCAACAGTCAGACACTCAACAGACTGAGTCATCCAGGCACCCCTGCTCTTGCTATTTAAAAAAAAACACTTCGTAGGGACGTCTGGGTGGCTCAGTTGGTTGAGCGTCTGCCTTCAGCTCAGGTCATGATCTCAGGGCCCTGGGATGGGGTCCCACATCAGGCTCCTTGCTCAGTGGGGAGTCTGCTTCTCCCTCTGCCTGCCACCCACCTGCTTGTGCTCTCTGTTTCTCTCTCCCTCTCCCTCTGCTGATCCCCCTGCTTGTGCTCTCTCGCTCACTCTCTCTCAAATAAATAAATAAATAAATAAAATATTAAAAAAAAAAAATCACCAGACTAATTACTTATTGTCTTGAAAGATTTAGTGACCCATGAATTTTGGGGTTAATGGGATACTGTTTGTGCCTATAATAACTTGCCAATGTTTAAGCATCACAGTTCAGTATAAATATTATCATATGATCAACCTATCCTGTTTGGGATAATGTGTTTTAAAAGCTATTTTTTTTCTATTAATACTGCTAGTCTTTGTAACTGAACTATTCCCAAACTTTCTTACCTAGTTCTTATAGTTTATCATTACCCATTTAAACTTTTGGTGATTAGGAAAAATACATAGCCACAAAACAGTTTTGCACGAGGCCTATAATAATGATGGTACCGAGAGAGTATCAGTTGTCATTGTTGTCACTTTCCAAAATGCCTAAAAAGTATACCTAAGGGCGCCTGGGTGGCTCAGTTGGTTAAGCGACTGCCTTCGGCTCAGGTCATGATCCTGGAGTCCCTGGATCGAGTCCCGCATTGGGCTCCCTGCTCGGCAGGGAGTCTGCTTCTCCCTCTGACCCTCCTCCCTCTCATGCTGTCTGTCTCTCATTCTCTCTGTCTCAAATTAAAAAAAAAAAAAAATCTTAAAAAAAAAAAAAAGTATACCTAAAAATTAGGGTCTAGAGGTAGTAATGGGGAGCTGGGGAGAGGATTACTGAGAGGTATTTTCCTGGCTACAAAATCAGTGGAAGATACAAAGAAATGGGTTGGAGTCATTTCCTTCACTGCCACGCTCTGCCCCTTCCTGAAAAGATATATAGATAAACAGATGGATGGATGGTACATTTTGTCAATTCCTGTGATTCTAACACCTCTTAAGTTAATGTTTTAGAAACTGTGTTCCAGAGCCCTGAGTTTTGTTAAAAAGAAAAAAAAGAAGAAAGGCTGGAAGGGAGGAGTAGTTATGGTCAGACAGATGACTATGTATCCTCAAATTCATAGTAAATAACATTATCTGAGAAATCCTGGATGAATCTGTTAATCTGCCTTTTTAGTTTATGGATCCATAAATTTGTTATACTTTGTACATTTTATATTTCTTAAATTTCCCCCTCCCCAAAATATGTTTGCATTTATTTAGCCTGGTTTCCCTTAAGTTACTTCATTATGAAACCAATTTTATACATGTTGACATTATTCCAAAAGCAGTTGCATTCACTTAGCAGTTCATTAACAGTAACATCTCTTGGGTTCAGCCATGTCCCCAGATATATAAAGTACATAATCTGTTTGATGCTTTCTAAAATATACTTGAAAAGCATGATTATTTTTCTGTTCTATTGTTTTAATCCTGGTTCAGTCTCTCCCCACACCCTTACTCTTACATACTATCCTTCAGTGTATTTAGTAAGCTACTATTCAGAGTTTAGTTCATTGTCTCATGTTTTACAACTGAACCATGTTATGGCTCATTATAACATTACTCCAGCCATAAATGTAATTCTGATTTGTGTAGTAGCCACATTAAAAAAAGCAACAGGCAAAAATTAATAATATATTTTATCATAACCGAATATATACCTAAAATATTATAATTTGAATATGTAATTAATATTTTCAAAAATTAAGGTATTTTACATTCTTTTTTTCTTATTGTCTTTAGAATCCAGGATGTATTTTACCCTTACAGTGCATATCAATTCAGACAAGTTCTCAGTAGTCACGAGAATTACGGTTAGTGGCTCCCATAATTGGACACTGCAGGTATAATTTAGATATAAAGGGAGGAAAATGAAATTAATAGGAAAAGTGAGGAAGATTTTAAATTTTACTTTTTTTAAGATTATTTGAGAGACACAGAGAGCAGTGGGTGGGAAGGAGGGGGAGGGCAGAGGGAAAGAGTGTCTTAAGCAGACTTCATGCTGAGCATGGAGCCCAACGCAGGGCTTGATCTCATGACACTGAGATCATGACCTAAGCCAAAACCAAGAGTTGGGTGCTTAACCGACTGTGCCACCCAAGCGCCCCCCCTTTTTAAAAAGATTATTTATTTTAGAAATTTGTTTTTAATATGTTAAGCAGCATCTTAGAAGTTAACAGGAAGGTTTCATCCCATTTTATCAAATAATAACTTAAAATTTTTACATTTAAGGTAGGTGGTCCATTTAAATTTCAAATTGTTTTATACCCTGAATCTTGAGATTTAAAATGTTTGAAGGAAAAATACTTCTTTTGTTCTTAGTAAAACTACTAAAATATTCTCTTATTGTTAAAGTAGCTTATTGGGGGTTATAATATCATAATCTCTTTAAGTATTAAAGTAATAGGTTTTGGTAATTTCTTCATGTATATTCCCAGTGTGACAGTATTCTTTTTTAAGTTCTAAAACTTTCAGTTGTAGAGTACCAAGCAAGTTTCTGTTAATAAGACAACAAATACAGCTTTTTTCCTTTCCTTCTTAATGTGAAACAAAAGGAAAGTGGACACTTAAGTTATGCCTGTCCTAAAAATATGCTTGGAGAACGAGAACCTCCAAAGAAGAAAGAGAAAAAGAAAAAAAAGAAAATTCCTGAACCAGAAGAAGAAATGTGTGTATATCTACTCTTACTAAATACATTCTTGTATTGTTTCTGTCTTTATACTGTTGCTTGAGTACATTCTGATTTTTTTTTTTTTAATAATTTAGTGAAGAAGTGGAAGAAAGTGAAGATGAAGGGGAAGATCCTGCTCTTGACAGTCTTAGTCAGGCCATAGCTTTCCAGGTATTAACAGTTCTTTTAATAATGTCATAGCTGCCTTGTATCCCTTGCTTACTTTATTGATCATCTCATGGCAATCTTCCTCTCTCCCCTTTACCTCTTTAGGAGACAAGCTGTTTCTCTAAGGTCTTTAGAGCAGTGTAATAGAAAAACTCCCCTTGGTTCTTTCTAGATTTAAAGGGCCCTACAACATTTTTAATATTTTAATCTGATTTCATTATGGAATTAATCAGAAATATTTTATCAAGGTGAGTTTAGCCAAACAGAGAAGATTTTATTAAATCAAAAGATACGTTCTAACTGAAACTTCACTTCAAAACAAAACTAAAAACTATTTTTGACCATTAAAAGTCCTAATATAAGTATATGAAACATTTTTAAAGAAGGCCATATAATCTCCTAATTTTCTAAAAAAGTTACTTTATTTTAATGTTTGTAGTTGATAAATTCAAATACATTAATTTATTTTTCCTTTTAGTTAACTAACGTATTTTATATAACATTCCCATTTCCAGCAAAGATGGCAAATAAGCTTCATTTCATGTACCTGTTAATAAGTAGAAGTTGCCTAGAATAATTTTGATTAACAAAGTGAAACTGGGACAAACTTGGGGGGGCAGGTGGGGTCTCCTAATAAAGTAGAATTGTCTGCATGGGCTGGAGGGTGGGGAGTGTTGGCATTTATGGTGTGTTTTTGCCATGTTTTGAATTAATACACTGTAAATAATGTTCAACAGACTTTCTGGTTTTGTTTTGTTTTGTTTTCTGAATCACATTACAGCAAGCCAAAATTGAAGAAGAACAGAAAAAATGGAAACCCAGTTCAGGGGGTCCCTCAACATCAGATGATTCAAGACGCCCAAGGATAAAGAAAAGCACGTATTTCAGTGATGAGGAAGAACTGAGTGATTAAAATTTTATTTATTATGTAAATATCATTAAAATTTTTTTTAAATCTTGGGGTACCAAGTTCAGTTGGGATTAAAGATTACTTTTAGAATTTGTGCATAAAGAACACTTAGTACCAAATAATTTTTTACTATAAAGTAGGTTCATAGGAAATTGAAAATAATTTTAAAGTATCATGTTTCTATCTTGCCTTAGCAGAGTAATAAAAATCAAGATTTGCTAGTAACCATTAATCTTGAAAACAGTTCATTTGAATTAAAAAGAAATCTTAATACTATCACAGTATTGCTGTTGTCATCCCAAGAAAAAAGGCCGGTATTAAAACGATATGTTTGAGAAGCTCATTATAAAAGTTGATTCATGTCTGATTGGTTTACATGAACATTTGAAGTAAATTTCATCTTTAAGACAAAAACTTTGTGAAGACTATGGAAAAAGCTGACTGGTTTATTGTTATTAAGTGTTAATAAAATTTTCAAGAGAATTTTGTTTTTAAATGTAGGTGTTTTGCCATCTTATTTCTTTTAGCTTTATCCCAACCTGGATACATCATAATTACCCACAAAACGTAAAGTAAAGTAGCTTTCAAAAGCTTATAACCAAACAGCAATCATTTGGTGCACCTTTGGCACCAAGTTCCATTCCCCAGAAGTAACTAACTTTTTTAGCTGTTTCTTTTCATATGTACATATATATTGCTATATAAAATACATATATTTCTGCCACTTAATTCATAAAGGAGTAAGGGGAGATTTTTCAGTCTCCTACCCCCCGCCCTCCTCCATCTTCCCAATATGGCTATGTTAAAATTTTTGGTTAAATCCTTATTTATTGGGGCACCTGGGTGGCTCAGTCATTAAGTGTCTGCCTTTGGCTCAGGTCATGATCCCAGGGTCCTGGGATCGAGCCCCGCATCGGGCTCCCTGCTCAGCGGGAAGCCTGCTTCTCCCTCTCCCTCTGCTCATGCTCTCTCTCTCTCTATCTCTATCTCTGTGTCTCAAATGAATAAATAAAATCTTAAAAAAAATAAATAAATCCTTATTTATTGTTTTTCTTTTATGACCATGTAAATACTGCCCACCTCTGAGTCAATGAGCGTGCTGAGATTACATTTTTGTAGTTAATAATTGCCTCATTTTTTCTTTTATTATATTTCTTTTTATTTTCTGTATCTTCTGCAGATGGTTATATGAGAATGGGATTACAGAGCCTTTAGTTTTCTACTTTGTATATTTCTATATTGTTTGAATGCTTTTTAAAACAACACCTGTTTGTTAGTTTTTTAATTACTAAAAGCAGTAAAAATATTTCCCCTTTACACTTGATCTTAGCCAAAAGGCCGAGAAGCGATAAAAATATTTCCCCTTTGAAAAGTACAAAGACAGTGAAAGTATTAGCCACTTGCTAGCAAAGAATCTTCTAGATTTCAGTGAGGAAACCAGACTAACAACTGAATGCTGAACTCTACGTTTTGTTCCACCCATTAATTCATCAAATTTAAAAGAAAAAAATAGGAAAAGTTCACAACAAAATAGGTAAGTTTATATGAATATCTTTAAACAACAGAAAATGAGCTAGTGACATAAACAGTATGTAGAAAATAAAAACTAAATGAAAAATATTCTTTAACATTAGCTACTAAAGAATCTGTTACAACCAGCAGAACATTTTTTACCTAATTATAAAAAAATGAGTGGTGATGAAGATGACATAAGAGTACTTATAGTATTGTAAAGTAATTGCTGAAGGGTAACTTAACAATAAGTATTAAATATGTTACATTGTTTGAACCAGAAATTATATTCTATTTTATTCTATGGTTCTAGTCAAAAATACAGTATTTATTTGCAAAACCATATGTTGTTTAAAATTCAAAACAAATGACAAAAAATAATTAAAACATGATATATCCAAAATGACAGATTATTAAGAAGCATTAAAATGTTTCAGAGAATTCCTAATGGTATGGAAAAACATTCTGGATATAATGTCAGTTGTGAAATACCTGTTATGTATGGATACATATATGCATATGGATGGGAAAAGTCTACTACTAAAGTAGTAATGCATAGTGGTTAAAAGTATAGTCTCTTTTGAGAGACATACCTAGGTTCCTGTGGCCATGATGGCTGATGGTCTTGGGTCACTTACTTAAACCTGAGTTGCTCAAAAAATAGAAAGGTACAAACAACATGAAAGGACAAATATATGATTTTATTTACATGATGAATACCTAGAATAGGCAAATTAATATAAACAGAAAGTAGACTAGAGGTTACCAGGGACTGGGAAAGAAAGGGGGAAGAGAGTGTTAGTGTTGGGTACAGAGTTTTTATTAGACATGATGTAAAGTTTTGGGTTTAGGTAGTGGTGATGGTTATACAATGTTGTGAATGTATTTATTGCCCTGAATTGAATGCTTAAAAGTGATTACAATTCCATCTTCTGTTTATTTTACCACACTAACTGGTTGAAAATTTTGTGTAAAGAGCAGTTGGGCCACCAAGACCCTCCCCACTGTGGGTCATCCCTTAATCATGGGGAGCCATGACATCTGCAAGCTCCTTTCCCAGCTTATGTCCAAAACACTATCAGATAGGCTCACTCACTTCAGGGAATTGAGGGGTCCTTCCCAGGAGAAAAGACATATAGACATTGGATATTTAGGGACTTAAAGAAAAAATTCAACATTAATGTCCCTCAGGTTAATATGCCCAAGGCAGTGGTAGTGATATATGCTTCTGATCAGCTTTTTAGTGCTTCACATTCAAATATGAACAGACATTTCAGCATCAATAAACTTTTGAGGAAAGCCTCCAACACAATAGAGATCCAAATGACCAGACCAAAAAAAAAGTGAGGAGCTTAGAGGAGCTGAAGAATTCCGGTTTTAAAAATTTATCTGGCCCTGTGGGTGTCAGAGAAAGGGGCTATGGACCTGTAGTAAACCTGGTGATTTCTAATATGAAAGCATTTGCCAATCAGAAAATGCCCAGCTTGGGGCGCCTGGGTGGCTCAGTTGGTTAAGCGACTGCCTTCAGCTCAGGTCATGATCCTGGAGTCCCAGGATCGAGTCCCGCATCGGACTCCCTGCTCAGCGGGGAGTCTGCTTCTCCCTCTGACCCTCCCCCCTTTCACGTGCTCGCTCTCTCTCATTCTCTCTCCCTCAAATAAATAAAATCTTAAAAACAAAATGCCCAACTTACTAGATATTTTGTTTTCTTTCCTTCTGTAATCATTTATAAACTCAATTGCTTTTTTGACTAGATGCCTATATTAAAACTGCCAATTATAATTTTTGGATTATCACAAAACTCAGTTATGGCCACATGTAATAGGACATGGTGATGTATGTCCCATATAATTAAATGTTAATTCATGTCTTTATATTTCATAAGTGTGTGTATATGTGGTACACAACAGTATCATGAAATATTTAGGCATAAATAGTAAAACCTTGGCTACCATATCTGGAGAAGTACTTGAAAGTTCTACATAGAAGAATATACCACAGGAGCACACCTGGCTGGCTCAGTTGGTAGAACATGCAACTCCGGATCATGAGTTCAAGCCCCAGGTTTGGCATAGAGGTTACTTAAAATTTTTTTGTAAAGAAGAATATACCACAGGTAGATCAGTAATTTAGATTCAATCCTTTATAGAGTGAAAGCATGATTTTAAAATGAGAGGAAAGGGGTGGCTGGGTGGCTCAGTTGGTTAAGCATCTGCCTTCGGCTCAGGCCTGGAGTCCCAGGATCAAGTCCCACATCAGGCTCCTTGCTCAGCCGGGAGTCTGCTTCTGCCTCTGACCCCCCCCCCCCACCCCATGCTTTCTCTCTTTCTCACTCAAATAAAATTTTTTACAAAAAGTAAAATGAGAGGAAGGGTCATTGGATCACATAACTGAAAAATCCAGCTTAAGAAATGAATGAAGGGGTTAAAAATTATTTCAGCTTAAGAAATGGATGAAAGGGTTAAAAATGTAATTAGAAATCTATTTTTCTTTCTCTTACCACTGTTTTCCTCCGCACTACTTATTTTCCAACAAACTTTATGTTATAGCAAAGATGGCCACCAGTATCTCTAAAGCTAGGAATCCTAATAATAAGAATCTTCTTCCCCAATGGTTCCAGCAAAAGTCCCAAGAAAAGCTCTGATTGGCCAGACCTGGTTCACAGTCCCCATTCCTGAAGATGAGAAGTCAAGTCAGTCCCACTCAATCCACATAGACTGAGGGTATTCCTGTGCAATGTGGTATCTATTTTCAGTTTGGAATCAATGTGGAAATTATTCTGTCAAAAGAATCTTAAGCTCTCCTTTCATCTCTGTCAAAAACAGAATACCGAAGCAGCTGAGCAGGATGCACAAAGGAAATAGAAATGCAGCAACAAACAAAAAGAAGCCATTTCCTGTAATAAGCAATTTTCACAGACTATTTGCAAAACATATGGAAAGAGGGTAAAGCCTCCTCGGAAAGCAGTTTGATAAGCACTGTTACTTAGAGTAATAATATAGGCAATTACAGTCAGAGACTGAACTCTTAAGTCCACAGAATATGTTCAGCCATTGTCGATTATTTTTGAAATTCCTTTTATAAGCTTCAAATTTTAAGAAACTTAAGGATCCATATCTATTATAGATAGAACCAATTAATTTCAGTGAAGATGTGGTACCTAGAATAAGCGGACCAGAAAAAAACAGCTTTTAAAGAATGTAGTCTTAGATTTCTTTCCAGAAGTGTTGGAGTTTTTCATTAGCACATCTTTCCAGATACATGGCTTTATGTGAAACATATAACCTTTTATGAGAAGATGGTATATTTTGGGGGTGTCTGGATGGCTCCGTCGGTTAAGCAACTGCCTTCAGCTCAGGTCATGATCCTGTGATCCCGTGGTCCTGGGATCCAGCCCCGCCTCGTTGGGCTCCCTGATCATCGGGGAGTCTGCTTTTCCCTCTCCCTCTGCCCCTCCCCCGCTTGTGCTCTCTCTCTCTCACAAATAAAACAAAAAAAAAAAAAATGGTATAGTTTGGTTAGGGCTTTATGAGTATACTCAAGTTAAATAAAACAGGCTTTTAGCAAATTATCTGAAAGACAATTTGTATCACATATTTAGCACACAGTCAGTAAACACAACAAGGATTTAAATCCAGGCAAACTGGCTCTAGAATCTATACACTAAACTACTATGATGCTTCTCTTAAAAAGTACTAAACTATATTACTGCCTTATCAATTAGGAGAAAGTGGATTAAATTCCATATTATTAACAAATGAATAACAATTTCCTTAGAACTTAACAATTCTTCTGAGATTGGAAATATTCTTCAGAAGAACCAGCAAATTTTAAAGCTAAAGTTTAAAAAGATCAAATGTACTATGCCCAAATGCCTCCTTTAAATTTTTAAAATAATCTTCACTTGCAAGTCTCATAAGATCTCAAACTTAATTGCCCAAAACTGAGCTCCTAATCCTCCAAATCAGCTACCTCTAAAGCAGT